TCGGAGGACGAGGAAACTCGTCGGAGCTGAGACGAAACGAGGAGTGTGGAGAACAGAGGGTGAAAAAAAGCAACGAACACGAATGAATATCGGCGACAGTGCAAAAACTGGACTCCTCGAACGAGAGCGGTCGTCGACGAGACGCCGCTTAATACCAGCTTTCTCCGCTGCTGGAACTCGAGAAAGAGAGAGAGAGAGAGAATACCAAGGTCTAGAGAGTAGGGGAAGCTTAACGACGTTTGTACAAAAACAACGGGCCAGGCTGTATTGTTTGGCATGGCGGTAGCCGACGCCGCGGCCGCTTTTCAGCGTCGCGACCCCGACGCATTTTACCCGATTTTCAAGTAAGACGTCCGTTTTCTTCCATTTACCCGAGCCACAGTCGTGCACCGTGCAGTTATTCTTCTTGTAAATTCACTTGTTCCAGTTCAATTTCGCCGAGCGTCCCGCGACGTGTCAGGGTAATGAGAAATCTCGGCGAGAGAACACCCCTGCGAGCTGTTTCGCGCGTAAATAACGCGACCCCGCGCTCGTAACGTTTCTCCGTGTTTCGGATTTTCAAACGTGTCCCTCGATTGAGACTCGAATCTGATTCAACGAACGCAACGGTCAGATGTAGTAGCGAGGTCGTAAATTGAACTCTGAAGAATCGGCACCGATTGATGTTGCGGCACTCGAGGCCGTGTGTTGCAGCCTGTTTGAGGGTTCGAACGATAAATGAAGGGTAGCGTGTGATTTGGTGTTTCAAGTAGAAAATGGTGTTTCATTTACGAATGGAAAATATGTTAATATCACCTAAAGCGCCGGCTATTTTGTTGGAGACTAGACTTCTAGAGTTTTGCAGAAACGTGCACTTTTACAAAATAAAATAAAATAACTCTTGCAAAAGACAAAATTTCTATTCAAAAATTTTGCATAGTGCTTATTACAGGCAGACGATTTTTATATGTAATAGAGATATAATATTTTTTTCTGCACAAACATGTCAAATCGCTAGCCTTAAATTGGATATTGATATTAAGCTACACAACCTTTTTGCATTTTCCATCTGTATATAACTCGCGCAGATAAACTAAGATGCTAAAGACCTCGACAAGAACTTTACCTATAACCGTACTTCCAAAAGCGGCTTCCTTCACAAGGAAAAATCCTAATTTGTCCTAGCTGCACCCAGTTTTCGGTAAATATATGTGGAATTAGAAATAGAATACAGATGTTTATTAAAAGATATACAAATAACTATAATATAAGTAACTTTTACCGACGCTTCTCGACTTTTTAAACAGCACTCAAGTACTTATCTGCTCGTATCTCTGTCAATTTTCGGGTCCCGGCAGCTAAAACATGTTTACTCTGACGCCTAACCGATTTTACGACCTCGCTATATCGTGGCCCCGACTATACTTACAGACATCGCTGACACCGGCTCTGTTTAGACTCTAGGCTATCGCGCGGGAACATATGCGCTTTTTCTTACACCTGTAGAAATGTTAAATCAAACTTTGACCGATTAATAGGCTATCGGTCGAAAAGCGTCGGTGGCAAGAAAGCGATCGTAAGGGGCTGTGCGACGCGCCTAGACAAGGACCGCGGGACCCAAGCCTCAGGGGGCCTTAGACAAGGATGCACTCTCACCCCAAGGCTTGCACTGTCCTAACGGCCGAAGGACGATATAAAAGAGGGCAGCGGCCGACACAATATCGCACATAGTCGTCGACGAGCGAACCGACGTTATTTTAAGCCCCCTAATTCCTTAGTCTTACACGATTAACAGGCTACCGGTCGGTAAAGTGTTAAAAGAGCCCGTGTTGCCCACCTCTGGTCTTGACCCTACTTATCTGCTCGTATTTCCGTCAATTTTCCTGTCCGGGCAGCTAAAACGTGTTCACCTCGACGCCTGACCTCGCTATATCGCGGCTCAGACTATACACCAGGTTTTACCTCGGTAATTATTTCTCCGTGACTTTCCACGTTGTAGATCTCGTATGGAATACTACACACGTGGAAGGAAAGACTGGGGAGAACGCTTTGATTACGCAATTACGCGAAGCTTCCGTATTGACTCGACACAACAGAGTCCCTCCGACTCCTCTGATTGGCAATTGAAATGAACGATTATTTCCCGAGGCACGCGGTGCGTCAGCCATGGCTGAAATCGAATCGCGTGAATATAC